CCCCAAAACCCCAAAACCCCAATAGTCAAAATCTGAGATTTTTTATCATGAAATCAAAATTAGTAAAAAATATCAGTTATTTTCTATAATTCAAGGTGGGAGTCTATCTTTAATTTGAAGAACTGTATCTGAGATACGATAAATTTCCTTCATCATTTTGCTCATCATTACCTTCATCCCATCTACTCTCTAATTTATCTTCTTAGCATTTCTTTTCTATTATTCCATCTCCTATCTAAAGGTATTGCTTTGATGCAAACTAAAAGACATTTTATGCCGCTTTGAAAAAATGTTACTGAATCTCTTTTTAGCTTTTAAAACTGCTCTCTTATCTACAATAGTCTTAAAATCTTAATTAGTTGTAGACGAATCGCTGCTTTCTTCATATGTTTTGTTATATCTTGAACTTTAATGATCTTGAAATCTTTCAATTTTACTCTTATTATAACTATCCTCTGTTTATGATTTCCTAAATTTCTTGCTGTTCTTTAATAACTCTCTTTTGGATTTTATTTCTTCTGAGCTACTTTCACTATCTTTCAAAGATTTTGTTTCTTCATTTTCAAGGTCATTTGAAGATTGAGATTTACTTTCAGAGGAGTCAGAACTTTCAATTTCTTCGTCTATCTATTTCAAGGATGCTTTGTTTTCTGAAAATTTAGCTATCTAATTTACATCAGATATAGTAAGATTTTTCTTGTATCTTTCGTTTTTATACTGCTAGATATAGTCACTTTTTCTTGAGATATCTTTAGTCATTGCTAATTATAACCTTGAAAATACTGAGAACCTACTTCCCGAACTGCGACTACTTTGATTAAGACTTATTTTATCACATTATTCAATAGCATCCATTTTCAACTTATGAACTTTCTCCAATCTTTTAATACTATTATTGAAGAGATCGTCAAAGACCTCTGGAAATTCAAGCTTCATTTTGTCAATGTCATCTATTGTGAGTATCAGAAGCTCACAATTGATCACTGCCTATATTGAAAATCTTCTAAAAATATCCTTATTCTTTTGTGTTTTCTTTTTAATATTGATTTGGTCATCTAATATCATAGGATCGTAAACCAAATCTAGCTCTCCAAAATGATCCCCTTTGTCCACTTAAATGTAAATAGTATTGTCAAATCTTGGTAAAACATAGCCTGCTACTCCTTTTTCAAGAAAATAGACTATAAAATGATTAAACAGGCTAATATGCTTTACTTTCTTTGATGTCGTCTCCCTCTTTAAAGATATAGTCTTATTCAGAAACTAAGAAAGGCCTTAGAAGTGGGCAAACCCATACAATGAAATTCTTGTCCTGTTTTTTAAAGAATTCGATTTCTCTGTATATTCCCTTGTGAATTTCAAGAGCAAGTTCAATTTTAAGTTTATAGGGAAGTTCTTTCATAAATTTTGTGACATCGTGGTAGTTTTTACTATGATCATATTTTACAGTCTTTCTTAGCTCATCAAATAATTCTGGATCAATTTCATATTTGGTTCTAATATCGTTGAGTGTAGCCATTTTCTCCTTAAGATGAGCTTATGACGCATCATAATTTGAGATTATATTAGAGAGAGCTCCAGTAGCAAATGAGAAGGAGATAACTCCTATTATCATAAGAATAATTGACATATACTTCTCACCTATGCTATAAGCATGAATATCTCCATATCCTACAGTAACTATCGTTGTTACTGTGAAATAGAAAGAAGTTATGTAGATAGTATAATTGTCATCTCCCTCATATCCATTCTGGGTAATCCAATTTTTACCTGAAGCTTCATATTTTGCAACAAAAATCCTATTAAAAATTATAAAGAATGTATACAATAAATTACCAAAGACAAGCTGTAACATGGCACATTACCAAAAACATCAAAAGTAAATAAATTAGTCTTTCAAATCCTATTCCAATTTAAAGTGCCTAGTTCAGATACTTGACAAACCTACTTCTCTCCTTTACAATTTTCAGCATTCGCACCATCCTAGTCATCTTTACTATTTTGTAGATTTTTCCTATTCTTATAACTCTCGACATTCTATTAAAGCCACTAGTTTCATAGAGCAAGTCAAATGGAATTATAGAGAGAAAATCAATTGGAAACCAAGAGCATAAGTATTTTTTTGCTATAACTGATTAATCATCTACAAGCTCAAATTCTTTGTCATAGAAAGGGGAGATGAAGTTTATGATAATATCCATCAAGAAAATGGAATCTACAATCGCATTTATTATTCTCCAATCATGATCAGTAGGATCCAAAAAAGCAATCGAGTAAGGACATTAAATACAAGTGTAGAGAAGTAATCTAAAATAACATGGATTATATTATCAAAATTCCTTACAAAGTTATTAATAAATCCCATTTAATCTTGAAATAATAGTCAGGATAAATTAAGCATTTTTTTCTTTGTATACTTTTGCTTTTCTAGCGAAACTTTAAATTAAACTCATTCTGAAAATATTCTGTTTTAAAATATATTTCCTCATTCGATTTCTTCTTGATAGCTTTAGACTTTTCAAATTCACGAACCTCATCCGCAGTGGGTAATTTTTTAAGATGTTATTTTGAAGCATGCTTACTATCTGATATTTCAACTACTTAATTTATTTATGAAGGTCTGAATATGGAAAATAGGCGCTTAAACATTCCATTTTTTATTGATCCCTCATCTTTGATTTCACTATTTAATTTTTCTAACTCTGAACTTATGGAATCTCAATTATTTGGCTGGAGAATGCTTGATTGTTCTGAGAAATAGTTAAAGTTGTTTCCTTTAGAATGCCGAATCGTATCTAAATTATCGATATCTCTGAGGTTGAATGGTTTAAATGGACTTACTCTTTTTTAATGAATATTTTCCCTTAAATATTAATCTTTAATCTACTTTCTTAATTGATTTTAATCCTATGTAGTTCTAACTGGAGTAGACCTCTTTCTTCTTCTGCTGAGCTCAATCTCAAGTTAATTTTCTAGCTTAGATTCTTATCGATCTTACTAATGAACTGCATTATTATGGCTATTATAGCTACTTGAGTTATACTTTCGTCCAAGAAGTTTTCGCTTTTCAGGGTTATTTATCGAAAGCAGTGAATTTTTTTTATTACTATCAGAAATTTTTAATCTTTCTTTATTATTTTGCTGTTCAATGAATCCTAGTGAAGAATTACTTTCATTGTCACATTTGTCCAAGCTTATTCTTTTGCTTTTGGAGGTTTTTCTTTGCTATTTCTTGAATGCCTTATCTATGTATAGATTTTAATCTGATTTTTTTATTATTGGATATATCTCAAATTTATTCGATTCCTCGTTTCTAATTTATTCTAATTCTTCTTCTATTAGATAATTAGTTTGTACATGATCTCGAACTCCTTTCTCAAATAAGCCTATCTTTATTTCGATGTTGGTAAAATTTTTTTGCAGCGAAGCTACATTGATATCATCTTCTCCAAGCAATTCTAATAATGGTCAATCACTATTTTCTAAAAGATTTAAATCTTTTTATTCTTAGATTGAATCACTTTGAGAAAGTGTGACCTAATCCCTCTCTAAATAAGTAGATTGACACATCTACAATTATAATTTGTCATCCGGCTTTCTTACTTGCATTAATGGGACTTTTATAATCTAAATTTATTAATTATAGAATTGAGAATCATTATTTTCCAACGATTTTCATAATATTTCATTTTAAGGGGTTTTGGGGTTTTGGGG